CCACACGGTGGTGGGATGTTTGGAGTACTGACATCATTGAGGCATGAATTTCACCGCAAGTAGTACCTTACCAGCCGACTTCATCTGTGCATATTCTAAGTCGGTTGAGGAGAGCCGGGCTGACCAGGAAGAAATTCAGGAACAAAGTTAACAGAATTACCCACTCTAATATAAACGACGCCAATTCCAGTTACATGACCAACTAAGCCAAACGAGACTATACCAACCAAGTTTTGATATCGGCATTAAAAAGTGCATCGCCATTTCCATTAGAAGAACCCTAACCCTCCCCCCTGGTGCGCTTGCGGAAATCTAAGACGGTCTTGCGCATCTGACTTGGATCTAAACGATGAATTAGAAGCCAGTCCTATGGCATCCCAGGTGCATAGTTACCAACGCTCACTATAACTAACCCGGTACTTGGTGGTTCTCATGACATTCTTTTGGTCGGATTGTGTTCCGACTGCCGAGTCGGGAAGCCATGGTCTATGAAGTGTTAGCTTCACGGCATATTCAGGTTCGGCCAAGTTTACCCATGCTCATTCCACAAACGCTGGTTTCAGGATCTGGTGACGAGCGACTTAGAGTTTTTGCGCTTATTTGCTTCGCCTTAGACCCCATTTGGGAAGTGATGACCATAGCCGTTTGATCAGTCTGCGGCGCACCGACACAGATTTACAGGCACCGTGCTACGATAAGCTTTGGTGGCAATCCTCCAGCCTTGTCACAGCTAAACGTTATGGGTACCTATAGATGCCTGGCACTTGATTGCCTATATCTGCCTCCCCGCAAGCCCTGCCTTACAGGGTCACATGTCTCCAACCCCAGCTGTGCATGTAGTGTCTGGTTTGTACGAATCAGCTCATTACTGTCTCCCGTCCCGCGCTTTGACGCCGAGAACCACGTCGTGGGCCAATCATGCTCTACAACGCAGCCTGCTCTCCTTTGGTTGAGCCATCGCTGGTGGCATTACCAAGTCGCAGAATTTGTGACTCTGCTGAATGATCACCGTGTTCTCTTACAATACAACAGGGTCGTCCGTGCTAGTTGCTAGTTGCAATCCACCTTGCTGGAAGGCGGTTGGTGTCGATCTCAATACAGCGTACGGAAGACGTCTGCCAAGTGAAGATGTTCAACTTCAGGGGCCGAAGTGGCATATATATCGTGAAGTGTCCAACCTCAAATGTATCTCCCTTCGCTTGACTTCAGTCCAACGACAACCCGTCTTTCGCTCACTACCTTGCATTCTTTTTTACACCATTCGTTCATTTAATTTTTCTTAACAAACAAGTGTTATAATCGTATAATACTTTCTCTTTCATACACTCTTTTACTCACCAAGCCAATCCTTTATAAGAGACGTAATGAAGTTCGCATTTTCGTCCGCTCTCTTCTTCGTCTTGGCGGTGCCATGGGCTTCAGCCCGGCCGGCCGCACCGACAACCTTCAACTTCAGGGGCCGAAGTGGCATATATATCGTGAAGTGTCCAACCTCAAATGTATCTCCCTTCGCTTGACTTCAGTCCAACGACAACCCGTCTTTCGCTCACTACCTTGCATTCTTTTTTACACCATTCGTTCATTTAATTTTTCTTAACAAACAAGTGTTATAATCGTATAATACTTTCTCTTTCATACACTCTTTTACTCACCAAGCCAATCCTTTATAAGAGACGTAATGAAGTTCGCATTTTCGTCCGCTCTCTTCTTCGTCTTGGCGGTGCCATGGGCTTCAGCCCGGCCGGCCACACCGACAACCGCCACCAGTGCCGCAACATCTGTCGCGCTTCCTGCAAGCACGGATGCGGCCGATAACACTTTTGAAGTATGCAAATGAAGGTTAAAATCTTCCTTGGCCTCCACTAATTAAATTTAGAGCATCTTCAATCTCGGCATATTGACCGAGCGCGGAGCCGACCTTCTCCACGAGCTTCTAAATGACAAGCACGAATCCAAGCCCAAGCGATCTGTCGCTGTTCGAGAACTAGCTATCAGTTTGCGAGACCAACTTAACTCTGTACATGACCATCTGCCTTCTCACAGCCTTGTAACGTCCGCGTGTAGCTAACACTATCTCAGGGTGACGTGGACCTCAACAAGGCACTCAACGATGGTCTTCAAAAGCTCAACGGCACAGCCACAGACGTTGACTTGAACGACCTGAAGGCGCAAGGATTCCAACTTCTTCGGGAACGCATCGAAGCCGAAGACTTCAATCAACTTGCCCAGAAACTATTCCATGCTGGAACTGCGAAGATTACTAGACGAGAGGCATGGAGCTGGGCTGGATTTTTCAACGGAGTGAGTTCTCGCACCACATTAATGCCCCGTCACAAAGTAAGCGACTGACGCAACGAGCAGCCTATTCTCCGTACTGCTGCCAAAATGGGCGTCAGGATGGCAAGCAGTCTTCTTGGCAGAGTGGACCTCAACAACGTTGCTCGCAGCGGCCTCTCCGCCCTAGACAATATGGTTGGCAAAGTTGATATGAATCAGGCTGCTGGGCAGGGTGCTGGCTTGCTTAGTGGTATGCTGAGTGGGATCGATCTCAACAGTGTAGCCAAGGGAGCCTTGAAATTCTTGTTTCCATAGGCATGGTCGTGGTGATCCCATTTGGCCAGACTCACGCTGCCACCACGTGAAAAGGGGAGATACGATGGGGGAGGTGTTTGAAGAGTAGGTTTCGTCAAGGTCATTTGCCTGGGGATAAGTTCCCAAAACCTCAAGGTAAATGCCACGGGCTATACTCAAGCATGTGGAGCAGTCCGACTTTGTGTAAACTAGATGAATTTTCGCCCGAGTTCCAACGCAGTAATAGTTCAGCCGCGAGGTCAGGTCGAGCCTCAAGCTTACTTTATGTCTTGCTTTCTTAGACTTAGATAATTGGACAGGATTCCTATATCAAGCAACCAGCGCCTTAGCCTCCTGCAATAAAAGACTATCACGGTCAACAACCTTGAGTATACGGTCCGTCCATTACGACGCGCTTCGAATAACAATTCGGCGAGTACCGTAAGCACCTGGGTGATTTTTGACGGGTTTACGGGGCGTCAAAGCCCATATTGAGTGTACGGCGTAAAAACCCGTCTAGGTTATTAGCAGGACGCAAATGAGAAAGGACAAGTCAAAATCGAGACTTGGACTGCTCATTTTCCCCATCTTTCTGCCAAACATACAAGGGTTCAGCGGCATTGCGGTCAGATAAAGTCTTGGAAGTCATTCGGCGATACTGGTACCACGGGTGATTTGGGTTCTGCTAGCGGAAAGTCTCATGGACCGCATCCGAATATTGATGACGCCTAGTCTGTATTGTTGGGGGCCTAGAGCTACCTGGCGCGTCAATCACGCCATGGTATGCTCCGTCTCGATAAACTCAAAACACGTTCCGGCTTTGTGAGAATATTAAGGCAATTCAACAACGGAAAGGGGAGCAATTGGTGATGTTGATGATTTGAATTTCTGGAGAAATCGGCCTTTGAAGGCCCTGAAGATTTGACCCTTTTGTCCATAGGCAGAGCCCCTAAAACCCCTCTCGGGGCTCCTTTACCTCGAGCCCTAGAAAAGACAACTATCGCGACCACCAGGCTCAAAACAATGCCCTGTTTCTTCCGACAACAGCACATTCTGATCTACTATTGACCGCCGCATAGTCACGAAACAGCCATGAAGTCAAGCGCTAAGAAATCCGTTCTCTTATGACTACAACTAAGCTGGCTTGTGTCTGGTGTGATAGAAGAATGGGGCGCGCAAGATGATCCCTCATTTATCATGCCCTTTTGCGACCAGGCCTCAGATAAGGATCATGAGAATGGCATCAGACGCGGACGAGGATTCGAGCGCCAATTTCCTTCTGTCAGTATTGTCCCACGGAGTTATGATTTTGCTTTCATCCGGTCGCGTCTGGATGACACGCAGGTGGTGCAAATATCAATTTAACCCTCCAAACAGCCTTCCAAACCCTGCCAACGTCGGGACTACGCATCCTGGATCGCCTCCCAAACGAGCCGATGTAGATGGTGCTCCAGAATCTCAATCCTCTTTCTTACTTTCGTTTTCTTCAAGTCAACCGCCGCGCTCACCTTCTATCGACGTCGCTGAAGGAATATGAACTGATAGCAACGCATGCGTCAGAGGGACTGAGAGCCATCCTGCGTTTTAAAATTGGCAGCTGCTTCATCAGCCTGGAACTACACCTCCAGCACATCACTCCCACCTGCGCGTTATGCGGCGCGGCTGGGGGCTTTCTATTTCTTTTAACTCTGGAGCGGTGTTGCTTCAGGTGCTATCAAGAATCGCCGAAACTTACTGTCTTGACCGTGACTGCTTTTGCCACGCTCGCCCGCATATCTAAAACGAGGTTGTATCAGCTGTCGAGATGCGCTCTATACACTGTACATGGCTCAAATTCTCCCAATCACATGCCGGTTCCGCCCAAGTGCCTGATATCTGAAGGACAGGGTGTTGAAGTACTACGCTCACTCGGCACGCTTCCTCTGTACTGCGGACAACGCTCATTCTTGCATAATGAACAGCATAATCATCGTTTTATGGCAATGACCGCGTTTCCATGGTATGACGTGGATCTTGCCAAGATGGAGCGTGGGCTTCTGTGCAAGGGATGTGAACTTATGTCGAGGATTCGTTTGGGACGCCCGAGGTGTGGGATCCTTGAAATCTATATTCAACAGAAGGTTTTTTGGCTCACTTTGTGCAATGTGTAGCAGTGCGACAGCTGTGGGCAGAGAGCCAGCTTGGGACGAGGTCTGTTGAGGAGCCCTGATTCACGCGTCACGGCGGCTACTTCAGCAAGCTTGGGCCGGATGGGCGACCAAGGTAGTTAATATACTACCAGACTTGGCCGATTGCCTCACCTTGTTGAGTCGGACATAGAGACTACTAGTATATGAATTATCTTCCCTCCCGGATGAGGTTAAACTATTAAAAGGTGTTTATTTTCTCGCTAGTTCTTTGGTAGATTTTCACTAATTTAGCCAATACATTTAACGTATCGCGATACGTTCATGGTGTATTGTGAGATTAGTTACCGTTCCCTGGCCTAAGTATGGCTAAAATGTAGCATTACTAGATATCTTGTATGATTCTTTGGCCCTTTTTCTTTTTTTAATTTGACTTAATATGTAGTATCTTAAAGCCAGCGACGCTGAAATTTCTCACACAGGCATAATACCGCTCACTACATACTAACTGATTGCATATTTGGTTCTCGATGATCCTCCAAACTGTGTGTTGACGGTAGTTTTGATGAACTAGTACCAGTCATCACACAGATCCCGCAAGATATGTCGCAACATGGCGCCCCTGCAGTACATCAGTGTCAAGGCGTCATACTTGCCGGAACTTCGAATGATGTCTCGCTAATGAACACCAGGAGACTAAACAGTAAATCTGTTTGAATGCGACATCCCTCGCCAGGCTGATGTGGCCTGCGGAAGCCATTCCATAGCCATGCTGCAACGTCTCCTTGATCTATGCCTTTGAAGTTTTGCTGTGTGATGAGAATATATGCCTCGGAGCAAGGAATTGTGGACTCGTAAGGCCATGCTTGTTGGCAGGTCTCTATCTCTTGTGGGTATCCAGGCATTACGAGAGGGGTGTCCTGACCCGGAACGATGCCCTCGCGGTCTTTTGTTTTGACTGTCGGTTGTAAATCCGTTTCAAGATCATTGGAGCAACAGGTTGCCGTCAGTCTTGGCATGTGGTTTTGTAAGGGCAGCAGACTTTTAGGCTCTGCAGCGGCCTGGTCCGAGGTATGCCTTGTGCCCTGAAGAGGCTCGGTTTCAAGCTCCAATGCTTGAGCTATGAGAATAGGCGATACAGATATGGGTTCATTTACTTCCGATCCAAGTTGATTACTAGAAACCAATGGCTCAGTAGGAGCTAGGACGTGCGAATCCCAAACTCTGAGATCCCACGTATTAGAGACGGCACTGTATGGCTCAAAAGCGTGGACAGTGTCATCCTGATTCTTATCTTGATCATGCGTCTGGTAGCAGCGTCGTGTCGACGGCGTTTGCAGGGCCTCCACCTGATTCCTGAGGGTCAAGATAGTTCGTTCCGCTTCAATGAGCTTTTGTTCCAGCGATGCGACGTAATCTTTCTGACGAGCTCGATGCCGACGCTGATAATTGCGGACACGTTCCTGTGTGTGCTGGACTGAAACACGTTTAGTCCTACGCCGTGGCATCGAAGGTGGTTCCGGCTCCATGCCGAGTTGTTATTCTCGATATGTCACCAGGGGAATGAAACGGCCCAGCATACTATATTTATCTCTGGTCTTAAAATGATGACATATCGACCTCGGGAGCTGGTATATCAGTATATCACCTTGATTGTTCCCCGCCACCGCCATCAATTATAAGCACCCGTGATTGGGCGCCACTGTATGGTGTCTGGTATATACGGCACATTAAATCAGACCATTGCATGTGACAAATCATTACGTTTAGAAAGATGGACAATTGTCTCCAATACATTAGCCTACTGGACTTGTCTAACTGATGACATATCGACGCGCGCACAAGAAGTATATAGGGCCGCGCACATTCGAGAACCCGTGTCACTGCCATCGCAGGCCACAACGCATTTATTCAATAGTCCTTTCGCCCTGGCCTGACAACATCTGACACTTACAATGGAGACTAAAGAGATCTACAACCAAATTAATAGACGATACGGTTCAATCGTCAAGAGTAGCACCGGACACTATGAGCAGAAAGTAGCCAAGGCCTTTGGCTACACGGAAGAGGAGCTCTCTATCCTTCCCGAAGGTGCGAATCTGGGGTTAAGCTGCGGCAATCCCATTGCACTTGCGAGGCTGAAAGAGGTGTGTATGTCCGCACTCTGCGGTGTTTTGTCGCCTTACTGACGATCAAAAGGGCGAAACTGTCGTAGATCTGGGTTCTGGCGCTGGGTTTGATGTGTTTACGGCTGCAAACAAAGTTGGCACAACAGGCAGGGCCATAGGAGTAGACATGAACAAGGCACGCAACATCTCACTCCGCGGCTAGAGTCGAACTCGTGTCTAATACCGCGCAACAGAACATGATCGACAAGGCAAATGCAAACAAAGCTCACGCAAACGCTCCAAACGTCCAGTTCATCGAGAGTGCCATCACATCCATCGCGCTGGCTGACAACGTTGCTGACTGCATTATTAGCAACTGCGTCATTAACCTGGTCCCTAAAGAGGATAAACAGCTTGCGTTTAATGAGATGTTCCGATTACTTAAGCCCGGGGGGAGACTTGCCATCAGCGACATACTCGCGCGCAAAGAGTTTACGGAGGAAATCAAGAATAACACTGCGCTTTATGTCGGGTGCATTGCCGGGGCTAGCCAGGTCAGCGAGTATGACAAGTTTCTTAAAAACGCAGGCTTTGATGGTGAGCCGAATCGTCCCATGGTATCAAGATGGAGATTAATCCTTCTCTACCAGATGTTCTCATTGTGGATAGCATGAATGACTTGAATGTGTACTGTTCTGCCGCTGAGGCCAAGTCATCGTCGCATCCTGGGACAGACGCCGTGCAAGAGGAACAGACGGCATCCTCTTGCTGCATTACAGATTCGAAAGCCGCTTGTTGCAAGCGGGAAGACAAGGAGTCGTGCTGTCCAGACAACCCGTCCACGTGTTCCTGCCAGAAGCAGTCGAAATCAATGGCTACTCAAATCAGGACAATGACTAGTCAACTGGGCATCGCGGACTTGAACGAATGGGCAGGTAAGTGCATCAGAGGTCTAGCTTAATGAAAATCATCAACTAACTTGATCCCAGGCTCCTTCCAGGTCTATGCTATCAAGCCTGAGGTGGATTAAGACGATGGGTGAGGGATGAGAGCTTCAATACGTAGTCGCGCACTGTGGTGCTTTTAGGCCCTCGAGGGAAAAGTTCAATCCGGCTATTGTAGGTAAGGCAAAATAAGGCTACCAACTCACGTGGAGAAACACGGGTTTTTGTAGTTTTCGCGAAGCTTTACTCTTGTTATACAACTGCCGTGGCTATTTCTTCCTTTAACTTCTCTCTCCATCTTACTCTAAGTCAGCAATTAAGTTGCCCTGTCATCTTTCAACATATTGATTCTGTATTGGTTCCACCATTCGTAAAAGTTCCCTCATGAAGTGCGTGTTGATGGATGCCGTCGCCACATCCAAGACAAGTCCTTGGGTGTGTTATGCATGAACAGGAGTTTGTTTTTTGCTGCCAATTAACCGGACGGTAATGCGGTAGGGTCTTTAATATCAGCATCTACTCCGTCGCACGGAAAGCCTTGCGTCTTTTTCGGACCTTGGTAGCACCAGTGGTAACATAACTACCGTTTTTTTGTCTGGCTTTGCTCTTCCCGTCCGGTTTAAGAGCACTGGAAGCCGCAGACGTTATTGACTTTCTAAACCCTGGGGGTTGCCGTAGGAAGACCTATTATTGACCCGAAAACCGATTGCATATCCATGATTGCCACTTCAGGTATACTGACTTTTCTGTGTGTTGGCTTGCATTTGGCCGCTAGTTACGGGATACATACTTCGAGCTAAGATACATGTTCGCGATAAAATTTGTTACCGTTCCAGGGTCATTCTGGGTTCCTATTTCATCCCACATTTCATCTTTTCACTGATGCCCAATTTCCTTTTTATTCCATTCTTGGTAGAGGTTTTGGTCTTTGTCCGCTCAAGCGGAGAGACTACGAAACCTCATCTCTTTGCAGAGTTGAGATAACAGTGAGAATCTTGTAAAGAACCCCTACCGGTAGCGCGCCAGTAGCGATTCAGGTCGGATTAGGCGTCACTAGTAGATTACAGTTGCTATGAACAGTGATAGATCAGTTGCTCGGAGGCGGCTCAAAATTGCGTCATGCCGGATGACGCGATGTAGAAGCCTGACTCCAACGCTGCGATCAGACCGCCGGCCCATTTATGGAACCAAGTAGAAACTTGCTTCTTTGTTGACGCCTTTACATTCAAATACGGTGTTCCCTTGTAAATATAGATAGAACTACCATGTAGACTAATAACCCATATCCATCCAACATGTGAACAAAGGAGAAGAACCCCGGTGAAAGCAAAGACTATTTTCCGTGCCCTCTGGTTGCAGTATCAATAATGAGTGATGATGGCCGAGCAAAGTCAAATTACGAGTAGTGGGGGTGCACCTGCATTGGTGGATGAACTCCAAGGACACTGCTGAGCATCTGCCGTCCACAGCGAAAGCATATGCAATGTGACGGCAATACAACAGTGGGATACTTCATCCAGGTTGCCAAGGCTGTGGAAGCCAGTCTAGTAAACCGGTTCCCGTATGCAAGAACGATACCAATTTCATCAGCCATCAAATTCCCTCGGCACAAGAGCAGTTCTTCCCATGTGGTTATTACCCTTACCCTGAGTTGATCGCTATAGCTGTCAACGAGAAGCCGACATAGGCTTCCATCCTCGCTGCCGTGAGGTACACAGGAGCAGCCGAGGCAGCAGACCAAGTCTTGGCTTTGAAGTGCTCGTATGATGTCTAAGTCGGTGATCCATCTTGACCCGTCGTACAAGGATATCAGAGCCTCGCGCATCACTACATCCGCATCGGCAGCGCCTGGAGCACTCGCCAATGGGAATTTGTAGTCGGTGAATTTGAGGCGTAAGGAAGTTTGAGTGAAAGAATTTCCGGGTGTTCCGTCAAAACTCGCTGCCTGGAAAACCTTCCACGGGTTGGATCGACTTGCATTACTCGAGGCGTTAGCGGCGGCACGAGTATGACAATACCCGGATAACCTAATTTGCCGCGAATACTCCGGATGCCCTTGAAAGCCCGTTTACCGGAATTATCTTGTAAAATGGGGTCCTGGAGGAGGGCTTCTGGGGCAAAGATGGACTTCCCAGTCGCCATAGCGATAACCAACTCAACTTAGTCGGGGTGTATGCCACATCCGCCGGATTCAATCATTGCCAAACAGAAAAATTTTCGTAGCCCTCCAGAATATTCATTTCCCAATCACAGTCTGGTTGCAAAGATTGGCAGCCCAGTGCGCATGTCCTATGGGCTTCGTCGTGATGCCAATACAAATTGTAGTCTGGGAGGCGCTGTTTGCCCCTCCGGGTTTGGCGGCACCCCGATCGGGCCCTCGCCGCCATTGGCCCGCCCCACGCCCATGACCCCACCCTCCAGGTCCCGAAGTATAAGTATGTCGGACCTCCCACCACCTAGCACACTTGTACCAGACTCTTGACTTCAGTCTCCTCCTCAACCGATGCCTTTTCCCTCGAGGTCAGCTCATCATTTCGGTTTCACTATACCCGCTTGCGCAGATCCTTTCATTTCCAGCCCTGTCATTACGCCCCCCGGAGTCAGCTCGCCAAGACGCACGCCTGCCCAACAAGCAAGATGCCTCCAGACGATGCAGACGCCAACCTGTACGCTTTCCTTCCTTGACGGAATAGCTCAACGACGTCTGGCCCTTGCGATTTACGGGGTGACGATACTCTAGTGCGCAGTTACTTCTTTGCACTTCTCTTCTGTCTTCTCACAAGGGCAATGACTTTATTGGGACAAACGTCTTCCGTTGGGTATGGGGCTTGAAACACCCTCGCGACAACTAAATCAGTAGAAAAAATGCCTCATATCCGATATCGACACGTCATTAATATTGCCTCGACGAGCTGAAATGCATGGCGTGCATTTGAGTCGGCCCGTCAATGCATGCGCGGGGCGGCAAGATTGGAACTTTTGGAAATGAACGATGATACAGAGATTGCTCGTCATAGCGTCTTTGGTCGGTCATTCAACGCCGAACATTGAAATGTATTAATGGATCGGCATCCATGGTCTCTCGCACGAGACCTGCACGCCTGTCACCGAAACGACTAATGAGTCATGACGACGACATGAGCGAGGGCAGTGGACAACGTGTGCAAATTAGTGGGGTGTTAGGCTGATCGGAAGAATCAACCAACGCAGTAAAGGCTGAATCTGCGGCGGTATTGCCTAGGTGAGAAGTCCGTCCGGAAGGCGGTGCGACAAATGCGGCCCGGCATCACCATGATTGGTGGTTAGAAAGACTTCCTTATCAGACGGCTTCAAAGCAGGCTTCGACTAGTTGGGAGGTCAAGATCTGGTTGATGGAACGGGCAGAGGGGAAACAGCAGAAATGGCATGAGCTTGGGACATACTAGACCGTTCTCAAATACTTAAGGTGCTTGTCTTGCGCTCTGGAGTCAGGATCACATATTCCTCATCTCTCAATATAACAGTCACATGCACTTATGATGGCGACGCTTGTTTCTCTTGACGACTAGCATATTTAGGTACCACCAAAGCACAAGTCTGCCAAGGAATCTTTCGGCAAGGCATCGCCCTACAAGCAACAGGAGTTATCGCAACATGACGGAACTGCTAGATCGCAACAGGACGGATCTGTGCTACCCAGAAGCGTGCTGTGGCATTACGAGGTGACCAGCAACGATGTCATTCTTATTTCCTCCGATGAGGAATCTCACACGAACGATGAAGATAACGGTGTCAATGACACACTGCAGGGTCCTCGGCCACATGAACCGCATTCCTCCGTTACGGGAAGCGATGCATCCGGGGAGTGGGTTGAATCTTACCACGGAAGAACCGGTCAGTAGGCCCGAGGCAAATGAGTCCCAAGAGTTCATTACTAATGATAGGTCCTCAGAAAACCCTCCTCAACTTCTTGGCACGGCAGATGATCATACTATCACTTCTCCACCACCGGATGAACAAGACCCAGCTTCGACAGCAGTAATAAGTCCAGCACCATCTCGATATATGGCCAATGACGCTATGGAGACCCCGTTTAGGCAATCTGTATCCGTGCCGCGAACTTCAGGCTTCTCAGGCGAAATTGCACCCAAACGGGCAGACTCCTTTAAGGCCGCTCCAGAGTCTGATGACGAACTCTGCCCTTCTCGTCAGCTTGAGACTTGAGGCGCGACTATGCCGAACCATAAGGATTTTGTCGACAATAGCGATAACGCTGACGCTGCGTCCAATGTCAGGCAGCAAAGAAACAGCTCTCCCATGCTTGTGCAACCAGGTGACGATGCGACTGTCGGAAATCCAATCCATGAAAGCGAGCTCTCGAATACATCAAGCGGCGATGCACAAGAATTCTTGGGCTGTGGTCGTCAAGGGTGCCACCCAGTGGAATCTGGGACGCAGTCTCTTAAGGAAGCCCATTCCTGCGTGGCTACCAAGGAAAACGCAGAGGGAAGGACTAGAATGCCTAACGCCTCTGGCGGTAGCAACAAGCGACGGCGTCGTAAAGCTCGTGAACCCCCGGGCGAAGGAAGCGACAGCGATAGAGAATTTATCCCAACACGCAAGCTTTAAAAAGCGAGCTCGCGCTGTCACAAATAAAATCTAAGCTATTATCGCAAATCTAAAAGATACGTCGCTGAACCGCAAACAAGGAACCACAGGAAGATTGTACCTGCGAGCGGGGATCATAATATGGATACCACCATTACAAGCTATAAAGAATAGCTTCTTTTAAATGCCGTGCTCAAGTGTATACGCGATAACGGTACTATAACGTTTCAAATGCAATTCACCCACACGCCCTCCCTGTGGCATTCACACCAATCATCCACAACAGACGACAAATGAGTCACCCAAAGACACGCACCAGCTGCAGAGCCACGCAATAAAGCCTAAAGACCGTCGGTTGCTTGATAAGAACTCTTTGACACTAAAGCAAGACATTCTAACCCATCAAGCATCGCCGAACGACTCTGACGATACGAATATCTATAAAGCGGAATTACTAGCACGGTGGGGTAAGAACATCTTCTTCCTAAGGTGGGACGTTGACGGCAGTACCGGCTGGGAGCCGCGAAGGAACATTCTGGACAAGAAAATGCTACAAAACTTTGAGTTAACTTATGTAGGATTTAATGAGGGAGTCAATGTGCTGAACACACGGGAAAGTAAACGGCGTAAGCGACAATGTCTCTTACATTTCCACGGTCGCCCGCAAGCCGAGGACTCTTGGGTAAAAGAGGAGCTGTTGAGCCCCAACCTCCTGGGAAAAGCCAGGCAAAGTGGGTTGGATGTTGGCAGACATTGTGCGGAAACTTAGTGTGCCAGGTAATAAAGGCACGCGTTTCGTATCGCCGAAAAGCACATTGTCGTCCGTCTTATGAATAAACCTGAAAGGCTAGTAATATATTAAATTGAACAGACTGCACTTTCAAGTCGACCCATCTCCTAGACAGGCCAAGCAACGCGTTCTTTATGGCCGGTCACCGTTTGTCTGCACTCCTCAAAGCCATAAAGCTCACCATAACGACGATTGCTGCCAAGTAACCTGTTACTCCAAATGCTCCTTGGACGTCCAAATTAGATATACCCCAACAGATTCGAAGATGATGCTGCTGATAATCGTGGCCATGGAGGCGAATAGGTATATGGTCTTGAAAATTCCACCCGTCTTCACTGAATTATATTTATAATTTACTTATAAATATTATATACTTTAATCTTTTTACTTATATAAGCTTTAAGCTTATTATTGTAATATAATTATATAACTTTAAGAGTATATAATGTAATAAAGTTATTTTTTACTTTATGTTATAGGCTCGAGCTAGCAGCTTGGGCCTAGGCCGGACCCGATGCGAAGGCAGCTCGGACCTAACTCGGATAATTTACGGGCTAGGTAAGGATATAAAGGGGGGTAAGAAGGGGGAAACCTTTATTCACCTTTCTCTTTCTTCTTAAGTTTATTCTTACTTTCTAAAGACGTATACTTATAGTAGTGTTATAGGCTCGAGCTAGCAGCTCGGGCCTAGGTCGGACCTAATACGAAGGTAGCTTGAACCTAACCCGAATAATTTACGGGCTAGATAGGGATATAAAGGGGGGTAAGAAGAGGGAAACCTTTCTTCTCCTTTCTCTTTTCTTTCTAAGTTTATTCTTACTTTCTAAAGACGTATACTTGTAGTAGTATAGTATAGCTAGTCCTTAACAAGTAGTATAGTATAGCTAGTCCTTGACAAGTAGTATAGTGTAGCTAGTCTATAACAAGTAGTATAGTATAGCTAGTCTATAACACTTTAAGTGTAAATTATTACTTTAATAATAAACTTATATAAGCTTTTATTAAAGTAAGTTAAAGAAAAGTAAATAATATATTAATTAAGTAATTTAATTAATTAAAGTTTATTATGTTTTAAAGCTTATTAACTTAAACTTAACTCTTTAATACTTTATATTAATTATACTTTTTACTTAAAAGCTTTAACTTTAACTTAATTAATAATTAAATACTTATAAGAGTAGAACTATAAAAGTAGTATAGTTTTATAGTTTTATAGTTTTATAGTTTTATAGTTTTTATAGTTCTTCATATAATAAATAATATTAAATTGCCTTTATAGCGTAGTGGTTATGAGTTAAACGCTATAGAGCCCTACCTTAGCCTAATAAAGAGCTAGTTTAAACTCGGTTAAAGGCACCCCTAATTTTACGGCTTAATTACCCGAAAAAGAAGGGGTTAACTCGTGCCTAAGTATGTGAGTTTTAGGGGTAAAATTAAGTTAAGCTTACCTTAAAAATTAGCTAATATGCTTAAAGCTTTAAGGTAAGAGAAAATTAAGCTAACACGTATTATATTTATAATATAATATATTATAAGAAAATTATAATAATAGGTTAAGAATAGGTGAAAGTAAATAATTAGCACTTATAACTTATATAAGAAGAAATATATCTTATATATAATGTAATATAAGGTAAAGAAGACTTTATAAATATAAGTAGATTTTTCTTCTCTTAAGGGTTTTCCTACTTAAAATAAGGGTTAATATACTAGAATAGCTTTAAAGCTCTAGGGTACTTATAATAATAATATATATTTA